CTGAACGTGACCTTTTCTAATGGCATGTTTTTGCCTAAATACTACATAATGTAAGTCTCTCGTAAAGGATCTGTAAAGAAATCTATAGTTTGAACAATTGGCTTCTATGTTGGGAAGAGCTGTTCAGCAGGAACTCAGCCAGACTTCAGAACAATGAAAAAAGAAAAATAAACAAAAAAACAAAAAAAATTCTATCATGCAGGGGCTGAAGACCCACTTATTACATCTGTGGGAGTACCATTTATGTTGAACTCATGTAAGCACCAAAAAGTGTTAATGATATAGTGATGCTTTTTCCAAGTAACTGATCTTCTTGGACACTTTTACATTGAGCTGCTCTAATTTAAGCCCCGTAACATCTTGCATATCAGTATTCCTGCACTTCAAAATAGTGGTGGGGGCACTTGAACTAAAGGTCATTCGACAAGTTTTAGTTCAAGTGCCCCCACCAACATTTTGAGGGGTGGGGTAACTGATACATGAGATGCAGAGACTGGCTGGAGTGTGGTAATTAATGGAGTCTGGCAAAAAAATTAATCTATTGGGTTTGCTCTGATGCACTGTAATTACAGTGTGTCAAAGCAGCCTCACAGCATGTCTATAGGCACCCCTTGAGACTGGAAATAAGGGGGTGGAAATATTATAAAATATTTTTTTTTCCTGTGAGAATCCTGGTGTCCCCACTTCTACTCCTGGCTGAAAAGTTCCTCAGTTACTTTTTACTAGTAATGTAGGGAATGTCTGAGTCGCACAGTGGAGAGCCATGCATGGATACTTGAGTTAGATTGGGTACTCAGATCAGCATAACCACATTAGCACAGTGATCTGTTGAGGCTAATGTACCAGCCTGACAAGCTGGGTATATTAATTGGGGTTAACTATGAATGTGCCTATATGGCTTCCAGTATCTGAGCTAGTTCATTCAGAGCTAAATCTAAAATCTTTGTATTGCATAGTGCTATATAAACATATCCTTACTGGGTATGATACAAGCTATGAACTGTAAAAAGAAGTAAAAAGTACATGATTTTATAATTTGTAGGAATTAGTTGTGAACATTAGAAGAAGGTTTAGGAGACCCTTATTCCTTCTAAATGGCCTGTAGGTAGATATTTCAGGTTACTAAGTAAGTGTCTTTTTGTGGCTTCCTCCAGTCCTTGAGTCATTTAGCCAAATCTGTTAACCCTTTCTCCTCTCCAAAAAGGGATGAAGGGAAAAGAATACAAGGGAATAGAATCTCTTAAGAATTATGTCAAGTTCAATACTTGATTGCAGGCTTTATTAGGATAACTTATTCCTTCCTATTTGTGTAATTATATTTTGTGTGTTTGTTTTCTTACATCTGTATATTACTTTTTTAAAATCTTGGCAACTGGCAGAAGATTTTTTCTGAAAGCTCTTTTCTTCTGTTGGCTCATTGTACCATAACTCTTAAGTGATAACCACTTTTTAAATATAGATATATGCAGACCATTTAGTTCTGGGCCAGTCAGAGAAGGGAAGGATAATGCTCTTTCCTAACTTTTCCCTATTGAATGTCAAATTAAGAAGAATAGTTTTAAATTCAAAGTTAATTGACTGTTTAAATTTTCTTTTTAATGGAAGGGTTGATTAATTTCATTTTGCAATAGCCATCAAATATTTCTGTTAGTTTATTGTATTTGAGGCTTGACTATATTGAAACCTTATTATTGGATTTTTATTATGAATCAGCATAATCTCAGCATATTTCGTTATGTTATTTGTCTTCTGTACCATTCTCATTCCCATTTCCATTGCATGGAGTGGTATGTATAGATGAGTTGCTGATCCCTATGATACTGAGATACTGAACCCTATGCTACACGTGGCCAAAGATGGCTTTCAGGTATTGTTCTTCTTCCTTTGGCATATAATTGATGCCTGGGATATATGCGAATGCAGGTGTGCCAAAGCTTGGTGCCATTCATAATCTCCAACATATATGTCGCTCACCTTGATTTTAAGTGAGTCACGCTAAGGAAGAACTAATATTATAGGTTGTACATGACATGTAAACTGTAGCTTGTGTAAATTCTCTATTAGAGATGCTATTGGACTTTGGGACCTCTTGAAGTCCTTCTAAATTTCATTAAGCAGAGGACTGCTAAAGTGTAATAGGGGGCAGTCACAATCTGGTATGTGATGTAAATATAATTATTTTTTTAACATACACTGTAATGCAAATCTTTTTTTCTTATGCATTCTCAATTATTTCTGGTTTTATCATGGTGCAAATATTTATGGTACATCCTGATCTTAAGTATTATTTGTAAAATAATTTTTAACAAATATTTTTAAATATATTTTTTTGCTTTTAAATTGAATTACCAAACACTGTTGCTTTTATGTCTTATTTATCTATTTCTAAAATAAATTCTGTTTGAAGATTGTACTTGTATACCCTTTGAAGAAACACAGCCTGTTAAGTCTTTGCCATAGACAATGCACACACATAAACAAAAGTATTTTGACACAGATTAGGTGGAGAAATGATAAAATACATTTTAGCACAAGTGAAATACTTTAAGTGTTTTGTTGTCTCAAAGAAAGTAAATCATTCCTAAAACCACATGTTGTGTAGTAGCTTGGCTCTGTTCGTCTTTTTTCCAAACAAATCCTTACTAGTGGGCAGAACAGAACAGGATGCAATTTAACAAAGATAAGTGCAAAGTGCTGCATCTAGAGAGAAAGAATCACCAACACACTTACAGACTGGGAAGTGACTTTTTAAGCAGCACAGCAGCAGAAAGCGATCTCAGAGTCATAATCGACTCTAAAATGAACACGAGCTGTCAATGTAACGAACTCATAAGTAAAGCTAACCGCATTCTTTCATGCATTAGAAGGTGCATCATGAACAGGTCTAAGGAGGTGATACTTCCACTCTATGCATAATTGGTAAGATTGCATCTGGAGCTTCAGTTCTGGGCACCGCACTTCAAGAGGGACATGGATAATCTTGACAGGGTCCAAAGGAGGCCTACTCATGTGGTTAAGGGCCATCAGGTAAGATCCTACGAGGAGAGATTGAGGGACCTGAATCTCATCAGCCTCAGCAGAGAAGTCTGAGAGGGGATCTTGTGGCCGTCTACAAATTCATCAGTGGGGGAGGGGGAGCAAGGAATAGAGGACACTTTTTACCAGGGTGTTCCTTGGGGTTACAAGGAACAATGGCCATAAACTGATGGACAGCAGATTTAGATTAGACATTAGGGAAAAAATTCTTTATGGTGAGGGTTGACAAAATCTGGAATGAGCTTCAGAGGGAAGTGGTGCTCTCCCCTACTTTGGAGGTCTTTAAGAGGAGACTAGACAAGCACCTGGCTGGGGTCATCTGACCCCAGCGCTCTTTCCTGCCCAGGGCAGGGGGTCGGACTCGATCTACTAAGGTCCCTTCCAGCCCTAAACGTCGATGAAATCTAACGTTAATTGGCTCAGCAAGTCAAAGTTTAGAAGTACATAACCACCTTTTAGTTGTGTGCAAAAGTTGTGCCTGTACATGCTATGTGGATATATGCATACTACAGCACTATTTTAATATATATATTATATTATCTAGATTATAACTGCTCATGTGGGAATGTATAGGATAAATTTTATATCTTATTACTCTTGCTGGTCAGAAAACAATATTTCTGCTTCACAAAATATGCTCTGTTTATGCTCTGGGGAGTTTTTATTTTTAAATGAAAAAAATGAGCCCTCATTTATTGTTTCATAGAATGCAAACAAGGCAGAGCTCATTGGTAAGAGTATGGTCATCTGAATGTGGAGACCTAGGTTTAGGATTCTACTGTACTTGATTCCAAATGTATCTGTCATATCAGTTTATTCCAAAACAGAGAACAGGGCCTAAAATATTTGTGGCTTTATTCCAAGACAGTTCCCTATCAATTGGAATATAGTCTCTCTGTTACTTAGAAATCTTCCCATTAAAAATGTCACCAAAATTTATATATGTACTGGGAGCTCCATATATGATATGTATGCATGCATGTATATAAAATCAAGCACACAGAAATTTCATATCAAATAAGTATGTTATTACTTTTACAACCTTGCTTTGTAAAATAAGGATTTTTTCAATGGTACAAGCTACATTTCTGGAACCTTTTAAACTATTTTTATACATTTGTTTAACATAGGTCATGATAAATGGTTCAGCTTATGTAGCAAATAGCATTTTCTTTTGTCAGTGAAAATTGTGTAACAGTGTCAAAGAAATAATATTTGACTTTCCACATAAAGCTGCTATCACACTGAGCCAGCAACAGAATTATCAGCTGAATTCAGCCTTCATTCTCATTAGGTTTTTTCACTTTCCTTGTTCCAGGGGAAGGCACTCCTAAGTGAACTGGCTAACTTTGCTTTGCCTTTGCTTTATGTTTCTTTCTGGTATCTAATCTCCTGAGACTTTGTTTTTTATCCTAGTTTAGCCAATGAGGACCACACTGGTCTTTCCGATCAGGTGGTTATTGTTTTGATTGTCTAATCAGCATAAAATTTTCCCCCTGATCTAAAGCCAGATTGTAGATAGGCTGCAAACAGGTAGACATGCAGATGAGAATGTAGAACTGAATGGCCTGAATGTTTTATTCTTCTGAAGGAAACTCTTCCTCCTTGCTTCATCCAGGGAACCGACAGTTTATTATTATTATTATTATTATTATCATTATTATTAATATTTTGCACACTCATTTCTTTCATGTAGTGTTTTATTATTTTTTTTATAATGCAATGTCTGGTCTGGGTGAGGCACAATTTATGTCTGAGTCAGATACACCAAATACCTACTGACTGAAATACCTCTATCAAGTGACAGGCATGTGGAATCACATTTCCTTAGAACTTTTAAATTACTTGACTAATTCAAAGTATACATATTCAAAAGGAAAAAAAAATATTCTGTCTTGTTTTAACAAGTCTTTTGGGGAGTTTCATAGGTAGAAAACTCCATATTCCTAAAATAATAATAAAAAAATGGATGTTTGTCAGGATGAATATCATCAATTACTATAAAACAAGCACATATGCATTGCCATAAGGTACTTAAATGCCAGAAAAGTAAACATTAAATATTCTGGGTTGGTGGTGTTCAGTTTTTTAAACAACTTCTTAAAATTAAAAAAAAAATCCACAATCTGCATGGTGAAATGCCTTCCGGAGGTTTATATAATATCATTGAGTGTTACCTTGTAATCGCTCTCTGTTTGGGAAGTTTGCCAGCACTCAGCACTCAAGAATTACACAGAAAGACTTGACTTTGCGTGATAGGATATGGTTGAAAAAGTGTATGATAGGTTTCACTTTTGTCTGTGAAATATTGCAGACTGCTGTTATTGGGTTTCAGAATACATACATATTTCATAGCTCAAAGAAGGTGTTCCTAGTCTGATTTATTAAGAAGCAGGACTCACCATTTATAATTTATCCAGCAGAAGCATTTGAAGGGGAACAACAAAAGGCATTTTGCACCCTTAATCCTAAAGTTTAATAGAATAGAAGGCAACTCTCCCATACCTGTTGATTCCTAGGTGACTTGGATCCTGATTCATGCAAAATCCACTGGGTTTTATATAGACAGAGGCCATCTGCTCTGAGTCAATCCCCAGATAAAACTTGGTTGAGGTGGATAGGGATAGTATCTGATAGCAAGAACTATTTTTGACACTTTGAAATGCATGCTGAACAGTTGGTATGCTCAAAGTCTTCTCTTACTCACATTCTCAAACCCTTATTTACATACCATATTTATCTGAATTCAGAATGAGGTTTTTCTTCCCCATTTAGCATGGGGGGGAGGGAAAGCCCCTCATTTTGGATTCTAGGACAAAGCAGGATGGAGGCAGATAGCTGCAGCTGCTGCATGACCCCAACCTCCTCCTTCCCAGCTGCTTCCCCACACAGTCTCTGCCTCTCTTGCCCCCAACACCATCTCCCCTCCCCCTGCAGTCTCTTTACCTCCCCTGCCCACTTCCACTGCTTATGTCTGGTTCTGGTCCCATTCCAGCCCAGTACCCAGAGTACACAGGTAGGCAGTAGAAGGACAGGTGCCATGGGGTGCAGGAATGGAGGGAACCAATAGCGGGAGGAAGTGAGGGGAAAGGGGCCAGAGAGGCAGGCATAGGGGGTTGTAGTAGAGAGGGCAAGTGTTGGGGAGGACAGGCAGATGGGGGCAGGGTATGGGGTGGCAAAGGAGTAAAGTGGCATAACCCCCCCACTGCCTCCCCCAACACCTCTCCCTACCTCCCCTACAGCTTGCCCCGCAAAGCCTATCCCCCCACTTTCTGCCCCCACCACCTGTTCACCTATCT